CGCCACCGATAGAACCAGTTTGGGGGCGTGGCAATTCGAGTTACTACCTACTCGGCCGAACCAGTCCGAACCAGTAGGAACCCACCTCTGGTCCTCAACCATTGCAGCTTCGTGGCCCAGTGGTAGGGAGGGGAACCGGGCTGTACAAATGGCTGGCTGGTGCACACACGCCCATAGGCAGGTCAACTTGTGCAATTGGTGGGCTGGTTGCAAACAGGCCATGGCCCAAGGACTGGGGACAGGGGTGAAATCTATTTACTTCGCTACAGGTTCACAAATGGTTCACAAATGTGATGCTTCACCTCCGTGGAGCGTCAAAAACGGACATGATAATGTCCAGGTGGGTAGGCAGAGCCTGCTACCGAGTGTGCCTGCAAAGGTAAGTAGAACAGCGAGGGGGGGGGAATCCACTGTGCCACAAGATTCAGATTACCTAGAAAGCAGGAAATCCTGCTTTCTAGCTAATATAAATCGCATGTCACAGCTGATTGTCAGAAATATCAGTTTGGGTGAACTGGTATCATTTTTTTACTACTGGTTTGGGTGTATCGGTAGCATTTTTTACTAGGACAATTGCTGTGATGAATTGTCTCATTCTGCATTCAGAAAGGATCTTTTCCCACTTTGGCACATACCAGATGTATTTAAGGATCAGGGTGTCACACTCGATTTCATTGAGGGCCGCATCAGGGTTGCGTGGATAGAGTGGGCATGGCCAGCTCAATGTCACTTGTCAAGTCTACGTTTTCAGCCGCAACCACCTCCTGCAGCCCTCTGCCAGCAAAAATAGAGTCTCTCCCCCCTCCCGAAGTCCATTTTAGCTGGCAGAGGGCTGCAGGAGGCCCTCGCGGCCAAAAATTGAGCCTGGAAGGGCCACATGCGGCCCTACTAAGCTCTGTTTTTGATGGCAGAGGCACTGTGGACCAATCCTTTGCTGTTTCCAGGGCAGCCCCACGGGCCATATTTAAGAACTCCATAGGCCGAATCCAGCCAGCGGGCCTTGAGTTTGACCCCTGTATTAAGGCTTTCGTTCCCAGGAAAGGTTGATAGAAATAAACATTATTTCTATAGCCCTCTTCAGCAGCCTGTGGGACACTTGCTTTTGGGCCTCGGGGCTCTCTACCACAGACCCCTCAAGGTGGGACTGAAGGGAACCTTTCGTCACCTGGTAGAACTTCCCCGACCACTTCGGCAACAGCAGGATGAAGGGCATGGTCACAATGACGAAGGTGGCCAATGGCACAGAGATCCACAGCATCATGGCATAGTAGCAGATGCCCCGGAGCAGGTACCACATCACGAGGCTCAGATCGTGTGAGAGGGCTTCGCTCATGGTATCGATGCCGGACGAGATGTGGGAAGCAATGTCACCTGTCAACCAGAACAAGTCCATTGGAAATTACAATATGTCAACTGGGAGAAGCTGTGGTCTTTGCCTTCCCAGAGTTGTGGCCCGCCAGCAGCAGAGACGGATAGTGAGGAGGTTGGGGAGGAGCATGGGCCATGCTCCTCCCCATTTTGAATCCCACCACTGAAACACAGTATATGTGTCAGTGTTTCCCTGAAAATAAGACCCAGTCTTATACTTTTTTTGTCACCAGAAAGGCACCAGCTCTTAATTTCAGTGGATGTCTTCCATTGACTCACCTCGCGATAGCCCCGCCCAGCAGGAGCCCGCCGGCGGCCCCACTTCTGCAGTCGCTTGCCCCTATTTGCGGACATCACCCTTGGCCTCCGTTTTGCCATCAGAAGCCTTCAGGAAAGGCCTCTCTAGCCAAGAAATGAGCTCCGGATTGATATGCACTGTGCCTCCTGGCTTCCATTTTACCATCAGAAGCCTTCAGGAAAGGCCTCTCTAGCCAAGAAATGAGCTCCGGATTGATATGCACTGTGCCTCCTGGCTTCCATTTTACCATCAGAAGCCTTCAGGAAAGGCCTCTCTAGCCAAGAAATGGGTTCCGGATTGATATGCACTGTGCCTCCTGGCTTCCATTT